CTCAGATTTCGCTTTTTGTGTCTATGCATCTTATTAACACATATTGTCGAGAAGTTGTTATGTGTATGTGTGTGGAGGCAAGCAAATTTCAACATCCACTTTCAGCTCAGCAACCAGAAAAGCTGGGAGGCAGAAATTGTAGGAGCACATTTCTATCCTATGCATCAGCCAGCCGTTTTAAAATCAATGCTCATGCGCTCCTAGGTCTCACATACGGAAGCGTGAAAAAAATATAAGAAGTTGAATCTTTTGCAGAGGTATTTCCTGTTCATATGTGAACTAAAGAATTGAACTTTAACAGTCGCGCACGCCTAAATAAGGCGCACAATCAAGTCAAAATTTTTCACTGACACCATGCCAACTCGAAAACTAGCTGTAATTTTGTCAGAATATTTGTCGTTCATCGGAGAAATTGCACAACTAAATGGAGTCTCGAATTCCACATATATCATACTCTAGTGCACGTCACAGATATTCGTAGCGAAGTGACGATTTTAAGCATCAGACAAGCTGCGAAATTGAAATTTTGTAAGGATATGCTGTATTCACATGTGGTCTAAATCCAGCTTACAAACTAAGTTTCCCGCACAAAGACATCATAATTACTCTGTTTTATTGCAACCTCAAAAACGAGTGCATTGTACCGATTTTGTATATCTTCTCTCTCGACATCCGACTTTGCCATCATTTTTCCCATTCGTTGTCAAATTTACATTTCTTAATGGAAGACCGGCTACTGAATAAGTTTACAGTAGCCGTGAAGGTTACTGAGGCTGGCTGGATCACGTGGTTGGGACGGAGTGGCGGGGTTAGACGTGGTTGAGGAGTGTTGGCCGGTAGGTGTCTGGATACAGCTCAGAGGGCACGGGTTGGGGGCAGAATAAAGGAGGGGAATGAAGGTGCTGGTCAGGAACTCAGGATTATCAATAGCGATAGTGATTAAGGGGGAGGTGATTAGAGTTGGTGGGTGATGGGTGCCCGACGTGGTTCTGAAGGCAGGAATTGGGGACAGGATGGGGGAGGGGGATAAGGGTACCAGTCAAGAGTTCGAGGCTAAAACTGGAATCACAACACTAAAGGAAAAGGCAGCACAAAAATACAAAAAAAACTGGCTTAACAAATTAAGAATAAAAGAAAAAAGCGAAACCAAAGAATTTGAGCTTGTGAAAAAAAGCAAAAAAGAAAAAAAAAAACAGAAGCAAACAAAAACCGAGCTTATGCGAGTGGCAATTGTCTTACAAAAACCCGTCTTCATTAAGTGGTTCCCGCATTTATAAAGCTTGTGCTCAGGTGAAGTTGAAGACAAATAAGTTCGATTGCATTTGCACAAAAATTGCACACAATTCCATTGTACTGCTTCAGATAGTCTGCAACTATGCATAACAGTTAAACCTCTGTTTTTTTTTTTTTTTGTCTTCAAAACCTCGCAGAAGCAATGGCTGATTTCATCTCAATGCGTCT